ATATATATGTAAAAATCGATTTTTATTTATTTCGTGAATAAATATCAATGTATCACTTATACTTATAACATACGTCTTACTACTGCGGATGACCATATTTCACTACTTTGACCCTTTATATCTTGGGAAATATTGACTTTTGGGACTTGGTGCAATGATAACTTTTTATCAGCATGGCGAAAACTATAACATAGTGAAATTTCAGCCAATTTGACCGAAAACCATTTTCCATAGGTTTTGTGCGAGGTCCTTTCACTTGAGTTATGATTTGTATCAAATTCATATGTACTTAAGCCATAAACATTTGATTGTAGTTTAACAATCTGTTTGGAGGTACAAAATCATTTTACAAGAGCACTTCTTTTAAAGATAAGGTAACTGTTCAAATTATGAGTCATTTAAAGTTAAAATAACTTTTATTCATTTTTATATAAAAGAGGTTATACAAAATTGGGGGTTTGGGAATCATTATTCAAACGAGAAAATGTTACATATTCTTATGTATTTTGAGTCGTAAAATTTGAAAATGACTATGAAAATTAAGGCATTAGCGGGAAGAATGTAGTAAATTAAGAAAAATGGGTAAAACGTAAAATCGTAAAAACTCCCGGACGTAATTTTTTACGTTTATTCTTACATTTTCTTGCGTTTTTTTTCTTGTTATTTTGAATTGCAGAATCTCGAATCAACTATCTGGATGTATTCAACATATGTACAGGGTATGCAAAAAAACTCGGCGAAATATCTTGAGAAATATAATTGTAGAAAAAAAATGTTTGAGACAAAAATTGTAGAGCTTAAAAGTAGGAATGTCCTGATTGTGCACGGACCCGATTGCACACCACCAGCCAGTGCTCTACTTTATTTAGTGAATTACTAAATCCAACTAGATTTAACCAATCATTATATTTTGTGTCCAATCGGGCTTTACTCTATTAAAAATATCTACTTACTCTCTTTATCAGTTTAACTTTCGGTTACGTCGCCAAGATTAGGCGAAGATTACCTTGATTTTTTTAATTGGGACCCCTTATTTTTTATTGCCGATATTTATTCAATATATTTTTGATAGTATATTAATGAATATACAGGACATATATTATTTTTATTATTATAATGATTTATAATAATAAAGCGCGCTTAATTGCACATAGGCATATGCAATACGAATCTTAACTTCATTGGCTGGATATCTTACTATAAAAACCTCGATAACATCGAAAGAACTGACATGGTGTGAATATAATTATAGCACTTTGAAAGAGTCTCAAGGACGACTATAAGAATACGTAATAAAAAATAAGGGACCATAGCAGGAGGAGAGTGTACTAGGTAGCGACGAGACACCGTGCGTTCGGGACCTACATATCTTTTCGTTCTAAAAAGAGAAAAATATCAAAAGCGCGGTTTGCTAGGTCGGAACTCGAACCCGGAC